GGGGAAAGGGGAGTTATGTCCCGAGCTTTGCAAATGGGCTCGGGGCGTTTGCAGGCGGTCCCGGGCAGGTGCAAGCTGCCCAGGACCAGACAGGCTGTCGCCAGCGCCTGTGCGCATGCGCGGGTGCTGGCGCGCGAAAAGTAACACATTGACCCGGGAAAGGCCTATATAAGAGGCCGGGAGTTTTGGGCGTTGCTGGAGCATTCAATCTGTAAGCTAAATGAAGAATAAAGCAATCTGAGAACTACAACTGCTTCTTGTGTCTTGCCATTTCGCGAGGGACTCAACACAGGGACTCTACCAACAAGAAACATTTTGCCAAATTCCCACTAAATAAGGCAGGAATTCATTGAGCAATGCTCTGTTTCATGTTGTATATTTGAGAGACTTTTGTATCTAGGTTTTCTGCTGGTTTCTCATCTTATAAACTTCTTTCACCCCTTCAGACAACACTTGGAAGGTTCCTACAAATCTTTAGCATGAATGGGGCCCTTAGCAAGATAGAAATTCTGGTTTCTGTGCAGTTCAAGTCATTATTTTGCACTGTGGTTAGTCAATTTATGAGAGTAGAGGCCCAGTAGTCCATATGTTGACAACTGTATTTAGATTTTGAAGTGTAAAGTTAGCATCATTATTATCGGTATTTCATGTTTATCTCTACTGAAAATGCTGACATATAGAACATAGAATAACAGGGAGGGGATCTTGGAGGTCTTCTAGTCCAACCCCCTGCTTGAGCAGGAAACCCTATATCGTTACTGACAAATGGCTGTCCAGTCTCTCCTTGAAAGCCTCCAGCATTGGGGCACCCACAACTTCTGAAGGCAATCCATTCCACTGGTTGGTTGTTCTCACTGTTAGAAAATTTCTCTTTAGTTCTAAGTTGCTTCTCTTCTCAGTTGGTTTCCATCCATTATTTCTTATTTTGTCTTCAGGTGTTTTGGAAAATAGTTCGACTCCTTCATCTTTGTGGCAGCCCCTCAAATATTGAAACAGAATCTGAATAAATATATCAAATATTTATTCAGATGTAGAATCTGGATAAATTTCCAGAGCCTAAAAAAGTAAAATAATTGCTGCCTTGTTGGAAGACTCTGCCCCAATTTATCTTTTTGATAAATTGCATGTTTTTTATTATGAGGTTTCAACTCGCTCTATGATAATGATTAAAACCAAATAAAGAAAGTGGTACATTTATGAGCAAATGGGTGAAAAGTCTTCTAGTAAACTGCTGATACAGTGCAGTTCAATAGGTGGATAGGCAAAAGTAAGTCTCGCTATTGGGAAACTGCCAATCTGGCAAGGAAGAAGGATCAAGGGGGGAGTTAGTCTTGAATTGTCGCACAGCGACAAGAAACGTAGGACTGATCCCACTTAAATTCTATGGGACTTTATCTCTTTGTTTCCAAGGAGAACAAAGCAACTCAGAGCAGTCTGGGGAGATTCCAGTATTATGGGTGGAATCCAATAAAATAGCCAACTTTAATCATTCACATGTGGATCTGTTTGCTTGTGCCTTGCTGGGATTCATTGGGGTTCTGGTGGAACAGTCACAGAATTTATGACTATTAGTCACAATAAGCCCATGATTTGAAGATGCAGTAGAGCTGTAAGTCATAGGCAAGGTGTTTCATATACCACTATATACATAATAAGGATGTTTACCTTTTGCTATTTTTTACTTGATTGCAGTAATTGAAAACAGCTATTAAACTGCAAAGCAGAAGGTCCTTTAAATGCCTGATTTACGGCAGGGATCAACATCTTTCTTCCTATCTCACCATTTTGAAATATCATTTTGAATGGTATTCTTTCACAGCAATCGCATACTGATGCTTCTAAGAACCGAAAAAAGTAACCAAGGAAGCATGGGGTGAAATAGGAAGTCTATCTCATTTGGTAGCATCAGGGAGGAGGTTTTTCACTTGTTAGGTTTTATCTTCATGTATTTGTGTGTGTTTTCCTGGCCCTAGTTTACTAGCATGTCTTCTTTGGTTACATGTCACCCAGAGAACTCCAGCCACTGAGCAAAGTATAACTGTATGTTTTTCTTCTTTGATGGGTTCTCAAAGGGATTAAACCCCAAAGAACTGCCTTTTAAAGACATGCTGGCTTCTTTTCTTTTTTATATTATGCAATAACCTGATCCATAGTGAAGTCAGAACAATAATTAATGTTCAGCTTTTCTTTATGCAACTGAGCTTGGTAATTATAAAGGATACTGAAAGTATTGAGAATCTGATTTGGAAAAAAAAATGTGATGCTACAATTAAGTGGTAACCACCTCTTTTTTCTAATCCTACGCAAAACCTGGGGCCAGTGAGAGTAAAAAAACTTAGAGGATATTTCTTTATGCTACTTCAAAATGTTTTGCATTGTTTGGAAATATGTTGGTTGTAGATCTCAATTCCTTATTCTACCCAAGAGAAGATATGGACATCCAGTTTATTTAAATCAGTTTTTTGCCATAACTCTTAATAATTAAATGATCTTTATTTTGATTTCCATTTTCAGCTTTCAATAGATAACTATGTAGTTGAGCACAGAAATATAAGTCCTTTTATGACTAAAATCAGCATCTATATGGAACACTAATCATATAGCAGTTTAAGCAGAATCTAGAAAGGAGAATCATAAAATTATAGTTAAAAGAGCCATCTAGAGGTCAAAGTGATCATAGCCTCATTCTTAAATATTAGATAGAGAATAATATGGATGGAAAGCAGGAACCAAAACAAAACTACTAGTACAAAATAGTGTAGTTTGCCTGAGGTTACCATAGGTACTAAAGTGATACATCCTGGAATCCATTTGAGTGAATTTATACTTGTTAGAACCCTATTTTGTATATTTTATTCTCAGCTGTAGAGTGTGTTAGTGCTTTATTTTTGTTCTTCATTGATAGAGAGTATTACCAGTCTTTTACCTGAAAGCATAAGGAAACATAATAAAATCATTTCTAAAACCTGAGAATCAATATTCTATTTGAGTTGGGTAATTATTCCTTGACAATACACTTCATTAGAATAAATAGCTGACTGAAAATCACAAGATGCCTTGAGAATTACTTAGTATGCCTGAATATATTCATCCCAAATATCCAGTCTCCATGGCATATATCTAAGACTTAGCTTGAACTGCTGCTTCATCTCCCTTCCTTTGGCTCTCTGACAATAATTATTGGGAATTTTTGAGAGAATCAAGATACATTTTTGAGTACATCTGGCCCTATTTGATGGATTTGAGGAAATAATTCAGACAGGGGGGAGGGGGGGAGGAGAGAGAGAGAGAGAGAGAGAGAGAGAGAGAGAGAGAGAGAGAGAGAGAGAGAGAGAGAGAGAGAGAGAGAGAGAGAGAGAGAGAGAGCCTTCTTTTGCCTATCCTTTGGTCAAGTTGGAGAAGATGTAGTATGAATGTGACTCTCTTGACAAAATTATACTGAAAGTAGGCTAGTTTTTAGTTTTCCCTACATATGGTTTGCTATGTTATGTCCCAATATTTCATCCATTACCTTTTCAGTCCTATGTTTAACTTCATAAAGATTCTACATACAATGTTTATAGACTACCAGACCTGTTCCTTGAACCGTGTACTGGATTCTGCATGTTAAAAAAAATGAGGTTGAATGGGGCTCTAGAACTTTGGGTTGTGCAAGTCATCTAGCTCAGAGGTATCAAACTTGCAACATCACATGACGTGTTGCGATGTATCATGACTTTTTTTCCATTGCCAGCAATGGGGTGGGTGTAGTTTTGGCATGATGCATCTGTCCCGTGAGCCAGCAGTTTAACATTGCTGATCTAGCTCATTCCCAGCACTTCATATCCCCTTCTGAGTTGACTTGCCTAATATAAGCCAGGATTTATGCACTGTCAAAAAAGGAAAAGAGTCCTCTGAGATCTGATCCTTTTTCAATAAAGAACATAGTTGCTGTTGTTAATATTGACTTTATACATAGTCAACTTCCAATTCTCTCAACAATTTGAAGAATTCTGTGGCACTTCATATATTTTACAATTGTTCTCTTTAATATTAATGCAGAGAGATGTAGACATGTTGGTTAATTCATTTATTTCATGTACAATATTGTTATATTTGATCTTTTACATATATATGTTTTAAATACAGAAGATATGTTTGAGTCTGTTCCTCTATTGCGAAACAATAACTTTCAGTAATGTTGTCTTCATAGAAAAGAAATATTGCAGTTATCCACAACTAGGTCTGTTTTACTGATAATCAACTTATTAATAAAATGGTTACCAAGGACCCAAATGTTGGATGGTTACAAAATAGTTAGATTTATCAGAAACCGCTATCTTGTACAGGTAGTCCTTGACTTACAATGATTTGTTTAGTGACTGTTCAAAGTTACGATGGCAGTGAAAATTGTGACTTATGACTGTATTTCAATTATTACTACTTTGCAGCATCCCCATAATCATGTGATCAAAATTCAGTTACTTGGCAACTGGTTCATACTTGTGACTGTTGCTGTGTCCCAAGGTCATGTGATCTCCTTTTGCGACCTTCTGACAAGCAAAGTCAATGGAGAAATCAAGATTCACTTAACAACCGGTTACTAACTTAACAACCGCGGTGATTCATTTAACAACTGTGGCAAGAAAGATTGTAAAATGGAACAAAACTCACTTAATAAATGTTTCTCTTACTAGAAATTTTGGGCTCAGTTGTGGTTGTAAGTTCAAGGATTACCTGTATTAACAGAATAATTCAGTTTTGCATCTCCAAAGGGGGAAAAAAAACCCTTCTAAAAATAAGATTAACAAAAGATGCAACATCATCCATTATTCCAAACATGTATTGATCCATTTCAAGTTAGAGATAAAATACAGTACATCCAACACTTTAAACTTTTGTTTCACAAGGAAGAGTGACAGGTAGGGAGTAAGAGGAGCTAATCTCTCTCTGAAAGCAGAGCCCAGATTCCCACAGATACTGTATGATTTTGTTCTTCCTTTTTTACTTGTAATTGACAGGGGGAAGCAGACTGGACATGATGTAGACTTTCTGATTACTGTTCCAGGATCAAGACAGGAAGAGGAACTGTTACACACAGTGATTGATATCTGGAAGAAACAGGTAGGAGAAATTGTCTTGAGGTCACTGTTTTCACTAGTCTTTGCTTGATGTATATATATGTGAAGACATATATTTGCAGGCTAAATACTTTATCTGCTCCAATCAACACCACAGTAGTTATTTTTCAGTCTCACTTATTGGCTTCTGTTAATTTGTGAGTAGCTCTAGATAGAAAAAAAGTGCTAATTACTTTCTGTACATCTATTCCCAGGCCATAGATATTTAATTGTTCTTTTGTTTGCTAGAATGACCAGGGGATTCTCCTCTGAGGTTGATGCATATTTATTCCTACCTGAAGTTAATTTTGAGAACAAGCTCCAGTTGTATAACAATATGCCCTGATTCTGTTTTCCATGATTTAATGATTTCATTTATTAGGTTTTCACACAGCAAAGAACAGAACTCACACACTCTCTTTCCACTTGCACTCCCACACATACACATATGCGTGCATGGGTGTGAATGAGCATGCAGAAATATGCATATCAGTGCACACATGGTAGATATAAGAAGAGTTACTCAAAATATACTATTAGGCTTTGAATCTATGAAGGAATCAAGCAGCAGTAGTTCATGAGAGAGATGTAATAAATATAGAAATGAAAATTGCTATCAAAGTATATTTTCTTTTACTGATCTATCACATGAGGCAGCAAGATGTCTTGAATGTAAGTTGACCTGAGCAGTTCCTGGTCAGTGGCACCTTAGGTAAGGCTTCCAGTCTTTGATTCTTTCATGGAAGAGAAAAATTCATTTATTTATAGGTTATTTCTGTCCTACATTTCACCCACGTAGTGAACCTGATTCTTGCTTCCTGATTTATAAGACGGTAAGGCTGCGAGATAGATGAGGCTGTGAAATGATGATTGGCCCAAGTCAGCCAATGAGCTTCAGGATAATAAGGGGATTTGAGCCCTAATATAGAGCTGTAACTAGGGGGAAAAATAAAGGTTGATAATAATTAGATACCTGTCAACAAAATATATATTGCTCCTAGCTGTGGCCCGATATCATGACATGAACTACCTTTCTATTAGTGTATTGAAGTCATGAGTGCTAAGCCAGTCATTATAAGAGCCTGGATCCCTCCACATAGTTCTATCTCCTCTGGAAACTATCATAACATATGTATTTTTGTATGTGTTTATAATTTCTGAGTGTATACAGATAGTCCTCAACATATGACCACAACTGAGCCCAACATTTCTGTTGTTAAGTGAGACATTTGTTTAAGTGCATTTTGCCCCATTTCTTGCCACAATTGTTAAGTGAATCACTGCAGCTATTAAGCTGCTAATCTGGCTTCCCCACTGATTTTGCTTGTCAGAAGGTCGCAAAAGGTGATCACATGACCTTAGGACGCAGCAAATAAATATGAACCAGTTGCCAAACATCTCAGTTTTGATTGCAAGATCATAGGGATGCTGCAAAGGTCATAACTGTGAAAAACAGTCATAAGTTTTTAAGTGCCATTGTAACTTTGAATGGTCACTAAACAAACTACTGTAAGTCGAGGACTACCTGTATTTGATCTTCCTATTTATTCAAAGGCAGCTGATAACAATAAGAAAATGTAAACTATAGAAAAAAATGATTATAGATAATCCTAGACTTTCATTATTAAGTGAGTTACACCCAATTTTATGTCCATTTTTGGAGTATTTGTTAAAGGAATAACATGGTTGTTAGGTGAATCCAGCTTCCATTGACTTTGCTTGCCAGCAGATGCCTGGAAAAGTTGCAAATTGCAATTACCTGACCCTGGGGTATGACAACCATCATAAATACATAGTGGTTGCCAAATGCCCAAATTTCAATCAATCAATCAATCAATCAATCAATCAGAATAGAACTGGAAGGGACCTTGGAGATCTTTTAGTCCAGACCCCTGCTCAAGCAGGAGGTCCTATACCATTTCAGATAGGTGGTTGTCCAGTCTTTTCTTAAAAACCTCCACTGATGAAGCACCCACAACTTTTAAAGGCGAGCTGTTCCACTGGTTAATTGTCCTCACTGTTAGGAAGTTTCTCCTTAATTCCAAGTTGCTTCTCTCCTTAGTTTCCATCCATTACTTCTTTTCTTGCCTCTGATGCTTGGGAAAATAAGTTGACCGCCTTTTCTTTGTCTCAGCATCTCAAATACTGGACTATTGCTATCATATCCCCCCTAGTCCTTCTTTTCTCTAGACTGGCCAAACCCAAATCCTGCAGCCCTTCTTCATATGTTTTTGTCTCCAGGCCATTAATCATCTTAGTTGCACTTTTTCCAAAGCTTCAACATATTTTTTGTAATGTGGTGACCATAACTGGATGTAATATTCCAGATATGGCCTTACTAAGGATTTATAAATCATGTCATTGTGGGGATGCTGTGATAGTTGTAAGTATTGGGTTGGTCCTAAGTAATTTTTTTCAGTGCCATTGTCACTTTGGACAGCTGCTAAACTAATCTTCCTAAATCAAGGAATGCCTCTACGAATTAAAATTAAAACCAGTCATGTAACTAAGAAAAAGCTTTGTGAAATAAATGTATTATTCCTTAATACAAGGAAAGTGGGAGTCAAATTTATTTCTTAGGGAGTGTATTCCTTTGTCAATACAACATTTTACATTCTGCATAGTATTGATTACTTGCAGCCTGTGGAGAAGACAAAACTGTAAGATCGACCTCTTTAATCTGATGTTATTCTATGAGATGCAACTAATATTTTGATAGAGCCTATATGTTTAAACTCCTGGGGCAGGATGGTTCAGCTGTTAAAGATGCCAAGCTTGTCAGCTGGAAAGCTAATAGCTCAGTTTTGAGACCCAAGTACCGTGCAACACAGTGAGCTCCTGTTCCTTGCCCTAGCTCCTCCCCACCTACCACTTTGAAAGCTTGCAAATGAGAGTAGATTAATAGGTACCACTTTGGTGGGAAGTAACAGTGTTTCCTGTGCCTTTGGTGTATAGCCATGGTGGCCACAAAGGGTCTTTGGACAATGCTACTTCCCTCGGCCAAGAAATGGAGATGAACACTGTTGTGTCCTGAGCCTGCAAATGCAGGCTCGGGACGTTGCAATGGTCCCGGGTCTTGCAGAAGCTGCCCGGGACCAGACTGAGTGGTGCCGGCTTTGTGCGCATGTGCAAGGTGCAAAAAATGCCTGACTACGTTGCCATTGTGTCCGGGGATTTGGGCATATAAAAGGAGGCCTGCATGCCTTTGCTCATTGTTGGAGTTTTGACTAAAAGCACAATAAAGAGTTGTTCTGCAGAAATGTGTCTTCATCCTTCACCTTCGCTTCAAGGACTTAACACTGGTGACAAGGGTGGGATCATTCACAAGATAAATAGAAGGAAGCTATAAGACTCACCCAAAGAAGTCCTGAAGAGGGAAAATGGCGTTAAAGTCAGCATCCATCCTGCCAGTACAGCATTGCTGGAGGGTGAGTTTGGCTGAAAGACCCTTTCCCTGAAGAAGCGAGTGGTGAAGTGCAAGCTACAATGACGAAGATCGGCCGCTTATCAGAGTTCGACGTCTCACACCCGGAAAGATGGGAATCATACGTTGCGAGGGTGGAGAACTATTTCAGAGTCAACCAAATTTGAGAAGATGGGTTGAAGCATGCCACCTTGTTGTGTGTATGTGGACAAGAGACTTTTGAGATTGCAGAAAAACTAGTGGCCTCTGCCTCTCTGGAAGGTGTAACATACACGGATTTAAAGAAGCTTCTAAAAGAGCATTTCCAGCCCAAGTTGTCTATCATTGCTTGGAGGTACACATTTGAACAAAGGGATCAGAAGGCACGTGAATCTGTTAAGGACTTTATTGCGGCCTTGAGATGAGCAGCCAGACTGTGTGAGTTTAAAGATTTGGAAGAAAGGCTGCGCGATCATTTTGTATGCGGTTTAAGGAATAGAGACTTACAGCAAAAGATCTTCACTGAGGAAGATGTCTCTTTCCAAGATGCTCTGCGAGAGGTTACAGCAGAGGAAGCAGCAGGAGGGGCATTAAAGAATATGTGGCCCACCAGAAGCTCTCCGGGGACCGTCGCCATCCACCAGGAGAACGTGCAAGAAGAGTCGGAAGAAGTTCCTGAAGATGAGGTGGACAAGCTTTACCAGGCAGCTGGAAGGAGACAGAAAGAACGCACAGAAAAGGCTTCAATGGCCCTTCAATACTTCGGGTGCGGAGGACGCCACAAACGAGCTGACTGCCGGTTCCGTTCCGCCATTTGCAGAGCATGCGGCAGGCAAGGCCACATCGCATCCATCTGTTTGGGTCGTCAGAAGGTACAACCTAGAGAAGAATTGCATCTGAAAGGTACCAGGGTCCCCAGCCAAAATAGGGTGGGTTTCTGCACAACACGCAGAAGTGTTCTAAGGACAGGCACACATAAACTCTAAAGAAGAAACTGTCCCTTAATGTAAGGTTGCATGGAGTTCCTTTATCCATGGAATTGGACACTGGGTCCGCTCTTTCCATAATTTCCCTCAACACATTCAGGAAGATTTGTAGCAGCAGTGGCCTTCGAGTTAAACTCAGGCCATCCAACGTGCTACTCACAGACTCAGAATTCTAAGGTGTGTGTTAAAGGGGAGGCCACCTTTAAGGTACAGTACAGTGATTTTGAGGATGTATTGGTTGTTGGGGGTGAATGTACGAGTCTTATTGGACTCGATTGGTTTGAGGCTCTGGGAATCCAGGTCATGGGGCTGCATCATTTGCAAATGTTAAATCTTGCAGAAGTCTGCAAGGAATTTGCAGATGTGTTTAGTTCTGAGCTTGGATCCTATAAGGGGCTTCCAGTTTCATTACAATTAGATCCTTCCATAACACCCATTAGGGTCAAACCTAGGAGGGTACCTTTTGCCCTCAAAGGCAAGACTGATGCTGAACTGGACAAATTGCTCCAGCAGGGCATCTTAGAACCTGTAGATTCTAGTCCTTGGGAAACCCCCATAGTAACGCCTCTTAAGGCTAATGGGGACATACGTATATGTGCAGATTACAAGTGCACA